CTCTCTGTGAACAGCGGGCCGTTGTGCTCTAAGCAAACTTAAAGTGTTATCGCAGTGAAAGTAAAAAAAAAAAAAGATCATTAAGTGACGAAACGCCGAGATACGTAAACGAACAACACAAACGAATTCAAAATAAAAAGACAACAAATCGGACGGGATTTTACAGGCTCAGCTGAAAACTACTGAAAACCGAAATCACAGCCATAAATTTATGCCTTTCAAATGCAAATTTACAAGAGGGTGAAGAGGAACGAAAGTGATTCTGGTACGCTGTGCTTTGAGAAAGGGTGCCACCAAAAAGGGTGATGTTCAGCGTCAATTTACCAGGGCCGGTCAGTGTGCGGGGAATGAAAAGTAGCGATGCGTTTGATAGACAACACAGCAGTGCCCCTTCCTCTTTCATCCAATGCAAAGCTGCGCACAAGCGCAAGGCAACGGATCCTCGCAGAAAAGAAGTCCTGGTGGCCAATCGCACAAAAGGAGCAAATTTTTACCAACAATAATGTTTGTGGGAATTTCGGGCAGCACTGCCAACTTGCTCGCTACACTCATCGATCGCTCTGAAAAAAAAAAGCATCAGCCTCGAGCACAAAGCGAATAAAAAATGCGTCTAAAAATACTTGCAGCTTTCTGGGCCTCAAAAATACCAGTGGCAAAGCAGCAGCAGCAGCATCCGGCCAACAAAGCATACCACACTACTGCATAGCAACAAGGCAGAGCCGCAGTCGGGAAACTCTGCCACACTGTTAGCCCAGGGCCTGGCTACTTGCGCAATCAACAAAAAACCCCATGGATCTGTGCTGAAAGAAAAAGGCAGCACGTTCTCGCCCCGAACACCTGCTGCTCCCGTCCAATTTCTGCTTGCTCCCGCGCTCGCAAAAACCGTAAATTAAGCCTATTGAGTGACGAAGCCAGCAGCGCATCGAGCAGGGCGCCAAACGCCCCGCCAGCTACCACACACCACACCACAGCGTCCCGTAACATTCACGCAATATTATGCTGGAAACCTGGTCCCTCGGCGTCCCCATCACCGGACCGGTGCTCTTCTTCCTCGAACAGTGTGAGCAGTTCCTGGAGCGTCCCATTCTCCATCCCTGAACGAAACGATCTGCAAAAACGCAGCACAGCACTCAAACGTGAAGGGTCACCAGACACTGCATCTTTCACCCACCTCCCCCTCTTTCCCAACGGCGCATGTAATAATGCTACAAAAAGTCTGGGCCTAAAGCAAGAACCGAAGAAAACTCTCTCCCGCACCCACCTCCCCCCCACTAACTTCAATCCCTCCGGTCGTTGCACACCCACTTCCTCCCGCCGCCCCGCTCGCCGCCAGTAGAAGCCCCATTTGTCACCCCTAAGCCCCACACTCCGGTTCCAGGAGGCCGTCCTGGACTCATCCCGAAACTTATGAGTAAATTCACTGAAGCTGCATCAAACACTAAAACTGCCCCGCCAAAACATGGGAAACAGGCGACATGCAACAAATCATCCCATCTCACACATGCACCCCCCACTCATTGCATCAGTACGGCGCAGGAGAAAGTGGCCAATGAAGGGC